TTTAAGGCCTATTGACACTGTAAACATGCATATTTGCAGCTCTACAGTGGAGAGCAAAATCAGACACTAGTCGCAGCCATTTTTTTCATGTTCAAGCTCCTTCGGGTAAAATATTTTAAACTTACTGACAGAATGCGAGCCAAAAGCGATAAAACTCGATAATAGGCTATAATAAAACTAGGGAAAAAAACAATAATAGTTGCAAATGGTTTAAATGGTCACAAAAGATAAGAAGAAGAGGCATGATGGGTTAGAACAAATATACAAAGGGGAGCGGTGGCCTAGTGGTTAAGGTGTCTGCCTCTCAACCCAGAGATCAAGGGATCGAGCCCTACTCGGGTCACGACCATGTTACTTCATATGACACCAGTACTGGCAGAAAGCAGACTCGAAAGTGATTAATATAAGTTGCAACAACTTGTTTCGCAATCGAGCTTAAATAAATATATTTAAACCAATATACAAAGGGTACAAAGGGATACAAATAATAGGGCGATCTGTTCTAAGGAAGATATTAAACATTATGCTCAGTTATATAGAATCCAAAACAAAATTTAGGAAAATAAATTAAAACAACTAAAGACTATTAATTCTTTTTTAAGGAGATTAATATCAGAATAAGATTTGAAATAGAAAAATCCGGACGTTATATGTCATGAATAGTATGATCCAATAACATGTTTACTGGATGATGAATATAATGACATTATGATCCAATAAACATAGTTGACAATCCAATATATTTAGAAAAATAAATGTCTTGGACAATATCATCCAATCTTTCAGGCGGATGAATATAATGTATAATAAGTTTCATTATTTAAAGTTTGCATGGATGTAAACATAATTGGCTACCGGGTCAATTTTTTTTTATTTTTCAGAAAAAAAATGTAATAGAAAAATGATCGCATGTAATTCAGAAAAATGAACATGGTGGACAATATGTTCCGATAACATTTAAATTAATGTAAACATAAAGGGCTAAAGGATTCAATCTTTTTTTTGTTTCAGGAAAATAAATATCATGGACAATATGATAATGATGTTAGAAGCATATAGTAATAACCTCGAGGAACTTGTTGCAAACAGAACAGAAGAACTTGCACAAGAGAAACTCAAGACCGATAGATTATTGTACCAAATGTTACCACCGTACGTAAAGTTGAACCTGTTTGTCTTTTGGAATATCCATAGCATTTGTTTAGCCTTTAATTCGCCATTAAATGCATAAAGCTTAATGCATAATCGATCCATTTCAGTTTTATATGATTTTATAGCCTTTTAGTTCTATACAATTTTTCTTTGTTAATCTGTTGATAAATTGTAATGAAAAAAATTTACTTTAAATTTAAAAGAGCGGAGGCAATCTGGTTAAGGTGTCTTTCTATCAATCAAGGGATCGTGGGTACGATTCTTACTGGGGTCATGATTTTGTTTCCTTATATGACACAAGTGTTGGTAAGTTCCAGAAAACAGACTCAGGGTGGTTTAGATAAGCTGCTATTTACCAGTTTTACTGGTGGTAAAAAGGCTCAAAATATCTCTTTTAGTTTTATTTAAGACTAACTGATTAGATTCTTGTATTGAATTTCATCGTCCATATCCTGATTCGACCATCGGCAGAAATACGACAATAGACAGAAATACGTATGGCATATTTGATGCCAGCGACCTAATTAAAGCACCATAATAACGGATAGTATTACTGTGCTGAATCATTATCGTGTTAGTTTTTTTTTCAGATTGGCAGCTGAGCAGTTAAAGCGTGGTGAACACGTGGTACCCGAGACTTTCTCCGAGGTGTCCATTTTCTTCTCCGATATCGTTGGGTTTACAAGTCTGTCTGGAGCTAGCTCGCCCTTACAGGTAACAAAACTAGTTTTATTTCTCAAATTTCTCTGTTCAGTTTTCGTGGTTGGGAACACTTTTGTGGTGTTCGCAACATCCTCTTATATGACAACAATACTGGTTGGATCCAGGCAGCGGACTCGACGGTAGATGAACCAAATTTTATATAAATAACATACATATTGGTCTGTGCTCTAGTTTTATGACATTGTTGCATGTCTTTGTCATAGTACTTAACATGTAGAATGCTGCAATATGGAAAGCCATGGCTGTCTGATATTGTTCTTTTTCAATTTATTTCACCATTTGGATAATATATAAGCTCACTTCGATAGTCGAAGTGAACTTATATATTATCCAAATGGTTACATAAATTGAAAAAGAACAGACAGCCATGGCTTTCCATACTGCAAAGTGTAATGATCATAATCGAATTAGAGTAGCTTGTATCAATGACATCGTCATCTTACTGCAGAAACTGGATAACTCCTTCTATAATTTTATAGGAGTTAACCAGTTATTGCGCTAAGGTTACGATATGGTATTTTAATGGTTATTTATATTATATTTTCTATGAGCGAACACCAATTTTGATAATTAGAATTTTTTTGATAATTGGAATTACAACTTCGGGCGAATGTCAATGAATACTTTCCTTATTTTTGCTCCGAGCTCTAAAGCGTTGCATGTACTCATTTGTAAGTCGGTGGTCTTATTGCCGATCCAAAAAAATAGTAAGAGGTTTTTCGATTTATGTTCTTTTTGATATTTTGGAACAGGTGATTGACTTGTTGAATGACTTGTACACCACGTTTGATGAGATCATTGGCCGACATGATGTATATAAGGTACGTATAACATCATATGAAATAATCAATTATTGTATCATAGTTTTGAGACCTTTCTGTTGAAAATGTGTCAGGGTTAAATCGTATACATATACATGCACAGTGCGTTAACTGGAGTGCGGGTATTAGTTACCCGCACTCCAGAGCATGCCCATTGATTGGTTCATTTTTGCTGGGGTTTTATATATTGTGACGGCAGATAAAGGGAAAGCGACAGAAATGTCATATTCAGATGTTCGTTCATTGGTTCATTTTTGCCGGGGTTTCATATTGTGACTACAGGGAACGTGCTTTTATGTTTGACTATGATACAAAAGAGAAAGAACACCAAAACACTCGGCAATCTGATTATTACTCGGGGGTTACGCCCCCTCGTACAAATCAGATAGCCTCGTGTTTCGGTGCTCTTTCTATTACTAATCGCCTACTAAATAAATTAAATGCTTACACACTTCAATGTAAAATATAAGATCTGCTTATGTTTTGTTTTCTGTTCGGGGTTTACGTCGCACCAACACTGTAAAGTTCATAAAGCGACTTTCCAACGTAGAAAATCAATTCATAATTCTTATACATGCATGAATAAGAAAATGTGAAAGGAACTAACTTAGTGGAATACCATTCATTCTGTTTCATACTTTCTATGTAAATTAAAGTAAATAAAAAGTTGAATAATCCTACTTACGTACACGTGCTACTTTTCCTTGTTGTATGATTGACTCATTGGCATAGTCAATGTCGGAACATTGTGTTTTATGTGCTGTATCATAAATTATATAAATATATTTAGGTTGAGACCATCGGGGACGCTTACATGGTGTCGAGTGGAATTCCTAGGCGAAATGGTAAAAGGCATTCTGGCGAGATTGCAAACATGGCTCTTGACCTACTTAGTGCCGTGACGAGTTTCCGTATACGTCACATGCCGGAAGCCAAGTTGCAGCTGCGCATTGGTTTACATACGGGTCACTGTGCAGCAGGAGTGGTCGGCCTTACAATGCCTCGGTATTGTCTCTTTGGAGATACTGTAAATATGGCGTCACGAATGGAGTCAACGGGAAAGGGTAAATTAAAAAAATATATATAATACTTTGATATGTAAAATATGCGTCTTTTACAACGATATAGATGACAGACGAGCATAGGCGTAAGTCCAATATCTTTAGTCCTCATTCACAACAAAATGACCGTTTTACTATATATATATTTTCATAATACATCATGTACATATAAATATACATCAAGCTTTAAGATGTGATCAGAATTATCTTAGATATAATCGGTCATGAAACAAGATGCCCTTCTATTAAATTAACAAAAAAAATAAGTCAGATTGTCGGCAGACGTTCCCCCTAATTCAATAGATGTAATTTAAAACACTTTTGTCTCTTTTGTAGGGTTGCACATACATGTGAGCAATGATTTTGCTGATGCAGTGAAGGATTTGAATTGGGGCTTCCTTTTACTTGAACGTGGAGTTATTGAAGTCAAGGTAAGTTAACGAAAACAATACATCTTATTTTGAACATTTTTTTAAATGTGATTATTATAGTTGATGTATCACTGTGATGTAATGATGTAAATATCGGAATATAGGTGATTAAAATACGCTTGTGAATGTTAACTTGCTATCATTGACGATGCCATGTGATAATTTCACTGATGATAAAATGTGATTATTGATGATTACATGAAATTTTTGATGATAACATGAAATTACCCATGATAACATATGATTACTGATGATAACATGTGATTACTGATTATAACATGTGGTTACTGATGATTACATGTGGTTACTGATGACAACATGTAATTACCGATGACAACATGTAATTACAGATGATAACATGTGAATATTGATGATAACATGTGATAATTGGGGATAACATGTGATAATTGATGATAACACGTGATTACTGATGATAACATGTGATTACTGATGATAACATGTGGTAACTTAGGATAACATGTAATTAAAGATGATAACATGTGATTATTGATGATAACATGTGATAATTTGGGATAACATGTGATTATTGATAATAACATGTGATAATTGATGATAACATGTGATAACTGATGATAACATGTGATTACTGAAGATAACATGTGATTACTGATGATAACATGTGATTACTGATGAAAACATGTGATAACTGATGATAACATGTGATAATTGGAGATAACATGTGATTATTGATAATAACATGTGATAATTGATGATAACATGTGATACTTGTTGACAACAAGTGGTTACTGATGAAAACATGTGATTACTGATGATAACATGTGATTACTGATGATAACATAAGATTACCGATGATAATATAAGATTGATGATGACATTACATGTGATTATTGATGAAAACATACGATTTCTCATGATAACATGAGTTAACTGATTATAACATACAATTACTGATTATAACATACAATTACTGATGATAACATATAATTACTGGTGATAACATACGATTTCTGATTATATTTCATGCGATTACTTACAATAACATGCTTTTATTGAAGATAACTTATATAAACATACAATTACTGATGAAAGATGTTATAATTGATAATAACATGTGATAACTGATGATACCAAGTAGTTTTGCGACATTTATTAGTTATATTAAACAGATGCCATAATAGTTAGGATAATATTCTTACGAATCGTATAAATTATTGAATGAATGCAGACGACAATAGTCAACGTGTTTGAGGTGAGCAGTTAACTGTTTATGTGGTAGAGGCAATACTACCTGACTAATGCCATTATGCCATGTAGCCAGCCAAGTCTGCACGCTTCTGTAGTCAATCAAATTTTGTTTATACATGTCCTCACAATTTTAGTATTTTAGCATTGAAATCTCCTAATATATACAGTAAAAAGTGACTGTATATATGTATACTTTGACGAGGCAATTTTCTAATCTGGATATTGAAAAACTCTGAGATCCAAATTTTAGGAAATGCGAAAGGAAAGAGACCATACTCAAGCGTAAATAATTGATTTAAATGATATCTTATTTTTCTCCCCTGACAGGGTAAAGGACTTCAGAAAACATACTGGCTTATCGGCAAAGAAGGTTACACCTCAAAACTGCCCCAAGAGATGCAACGGTTAGTTTTAAAATATATTTTTACTTTACTTTTAGAATAACATTTACCCAAATATGTCATGCAAATTATCGAAAATATGACATCCGGTATGTTGTTAAATTTTTTAGATGATTTTGAAAATATATGTAAGTTGTAATTTTTTAAAAAGAAATTCTTACTTCTAATTTTAATCTTTCTAATTTTTTAAAGATTTGATTAGAGACTTTAAGGGCCGATTTTGATTCCTCAGAAAGGGCTTCTTTTGATGGCCCTTTAAACAAAGGGACACTTTTATCAAAATGTTGCTTTGCTGTTTCTTTGCTATAATAGGGAAGAACTTTTTTTTTTAAAATTTTGCAAATTTATGAAGGGAAAATTTAAATTTTTGGGGCGTTTTTCATTTTGTGTTTTTAAAAAAATATACCCCGGGGTAACTTAAAGTGTATTACTAGAAAAAAAAAAAAACCCAAAATTTTTAAAGTTTAATGTTTTTTTTTTCAGATTACGAGAAAAATTTAAAGGGACGATTTGATTGAAAGGGGCGCCCTTTTGTAAACCAAACCCAGACATAATTTTCTCTCCCGGGAAGTAAACAAGAAAGTACGAGCATGTATGGAAACGCTTTCCGTAGAGCCTCGATTGCAATAAAATTCCTACGGACAATTTCCCAGCATTCCAGCCCTACCGGAAGTAAAGCAACAGTTCGTGACTTTGATATTGACAATGAAAACGACATTGGTGCTAAAACTCTGAACATACCACACAGTGAATTGAAAATCCCCTCCGCTTTACCGCCACTTTGTCAATCTGCAGACGACAATGACACTTCCGGTGGATCGTCTTCAAACCGGAAGAAAAAGAAGAAAAAGAAGCACAAACATAAGCATAAAGACAAAGACACTGAGCACCCGAATAATCTTAACATACCAACTATTGAAATAACTTCCCAACAAACCTGATACTTTGTTCAGTCTTTTGTCAATGAAATATAACTATGCAATAATTATACAATGTATAAAGCCAATGTGATTGTTCGACTTACGAATTATTGGAAGTCTTGTTAATATTTTTACACCTGTTTTGAGATCAAAATGCTCTGTATTATCTTTAAGAATTACATGACGCTTGGTGTCTGTCATCATTTTATGAAAAAATATTGCTCCGGCCCTTTGAAGCCGTAAATCTAAGAGTTGACCAATCCTTGGTGTCTGTCATCATTCTATGAAATAGTAATGCCCCGGGCATTTGAAGAAAATCTCAGAGTTGACCAACCTCAATATAACAATATTTGCCCTCCCAAAGACAGACTGAAACGATTCTTCAAATGATCTCAGACTTCACCTCCGTTGTACATCCAGTAAATATTGCAAAATATATACAAGTATAGAAGGGGCGTCCGTGGCCGAGTGGTTAAGGTCGTTGACTTCAAACCACTTGCCCCTCACCTCTGTGGGTTCGAATCCCGACACGGACTTTGGATTCTTTCATGTGAGGAAGCTATCCAGCTACCTTACAGAACGTCTGTGGCTCTACTCAGGTACCCGTTCTTGCCTGAAATAATGCACGGAAGGGCGCCTGAGGTCTTCCTCCACCAGTAAAGCTGGAACGTCGCGATATGACCTATACTGTGTCGATGTGACGTAAAACCCAAAACCAAAACAAGTATAGAAATGAATTTGAATATAACATTAGGAGAATATATTAAGAACAAACAGAATAACTGACATTCAAGATTTAATTTTCTTAAAGTTAAGATTTCGTATTTTTAGGAGGCTAGTATTTAAACCGTGCATTTCATAAAAAAGTTGATATCCAGGCACACATTTGTCCGTCTGCTTCGGAAAGTTCGCTTAAAATATCCATGGGTCGCTGGATTGATCCTCGGTAGAGGCGTTTTGTCTACGTGACAACTAATCTTTGACATTGAGTCTCTCACCGTAGGATTAAAAGTTGGTCACTTGCGCAGAAAGTTGATTACACTGTATAATAATAATAATAATAATAATAATAATAATAATAATAATAAAAATAATAATAATTTAGACTTTATTTAACGAGAGAACTCATTTGAACAAACATATCAATCTTCCATGAGGCCCTCAACAAGGAACAATATAAATTTAACATATTCAAACTATTTAAATAAATGTAAATACATACACGAGATTATCAATTTATATGCATCAATGTGTGATAATATCTCAACTATAAGGTTTTAAAATGGTTCACAGATGTAGCAGACTTAATGTACATGTAATCAGGAAGGCCGTTCAAAATACAAGATCCAGAATAAACAAAATACTTACGAAACTGTTCATTTGTGGTCTAGGAATCAGATGATGAACGCAAAATGCGTGTATAAACATTCTGACACACGATCAGAAAACAGGTAAAGTTTGAAGAATTTTTTTACGTTTCTTTTATAAACTTTGCTTTTTACTTTAATTTGGCTTTATCAATGAATGAAACCTTTTGCATAGTTTGGCCATCAAAACATTGGCCTCAATGTTTTGATCTGATACAATTGTAACGTGAGCAACACAAAACAAAATGGTATTCTGACTCTACTGCATTTTTGGTTACATAGTTTGCACAGTCTATTATTTCTTTCAATATTATCATATCTTCCTAATTCTATATCTAAATTATGTGAACATAACCTTAAACTGTCAATTGCAGTCTTAGCTTATTATTCAATATAACATCCAAGTACTTTTCAAAACAATATTCAGTTTCATATTTGCAATAGCAATCTAATTTTGACATAGAAGTAATGTTTGAACTCCATTCTTGAACAAATTGATCTCTAATTCTAGAAGTTATCAAATTGTAATAATTCACCATAGGATCAAAAGACAACGTTATATTTGAACAGCCTAAATGGTCTATAATATAATTCATTCACTAGCCCAACAAGAAGTTATAGCATGACAACTATTCCCCCAGTTAACCCAACAAATTGTGCGCTTTAGAGGTTTTTTTATCATCTATATGATGGTCGCCCTTTGCGACATTTAAAGACCGACACCTATGTAATATTAGATTGTACAATCGGTCGGTCTTGCAGTCGAAATATTGAAAATATTCCCCATTCCACTGTTTTACGATTTTTCTATCCCCGAACCGCCAGGGGAATATAACGGTTTTGTTTTGAGCCAAAATAGCCGAGGTGCATTACTCATATAAGAAAAGTAAAAAAGTTAGCCAACATCAATTTGTAATCCATTATAAACTAAAACAAGCTGTAAAAGATCATTAATATATCATTACTGTAGTCAAGTAAAGTTTTTTTTCCAAAACGATGTTTTATTCAAAGTTATTAGGGATAGTAAGGAATAAATAAGTAGATAGCTATTATAGTGATTTCTTTTTTATCTCGGTTTTAGCTTCCATTGATAATTAATATAATGGTAATAGTATGGCATTTAGTCCTGGACGATAGCCTCGCCTCCAGAATTAATTGACATTCAAAAGTCATCCTTTTCAATGCCATTGATATTAGCCACAATGGAATTACTTTTCAAAGCCATTGATGTTAGCCACAAGGGAATTACTTTTCAAAGTCATTGATGTTAGCCACAAGGGAATTGTCAACAGATTTTAAAAGTCAAGGTTTGCATAAAAAAATATCTCCATTATTAGCCAGGTACCAGCAGTACGAGTAGGCTTAGAACAAATTTTGTGTCACATTTCCAGTTAAAGATCCTGTAACACAATTTTTTCATGGTTTTATTTCATAAATATGATGCTCAAATTAAGATTTGTCAATATTGTACGTTCCAATAAGCATTATTCATAAAGATATTACCCTATTTAACATTTCATGTAATTGAAGGGAGGTAATTAGAAATTTATTTTTATAAATTCTAAGTCAAATTTTCCAAAAAAGAAATTATAGCATGTAATTTATTGATTAAACATAATGTGCACAAATATTTGCAGTACTCATTTTACATATTCTTCGATGTTTGAAAATTGTTTTATTTGCATAATAATATACATATATAATTTTTTGCAAGTGTTGTATACACACAGTATCAATATCAATCACAAAACATACAGGATCTATTAGGTGTTTATTAGACGGTTGAAATAGAAAGTGGAATAAAACATTCATTTTTTCAACGAGAAAAATATTTTATTCTTTGCTTAATACACCGAATTCTGTAATGCTACAGACTTGGAATCACCTGTAGTAGTTTTCCTTCTTTGATAAAATTTTATTGAGAGGTATTTTTTATTTCTAGTTCTTCTTTGTTACAGGTGATGACGGTGTTGAAAAAAATGTATTCTTGGTTTCTTCTTGAAGTTCTAATTTTTAAGACATTAACTTCAAAATTGACTGTTCTTATTGCCATTGCGCCATCTTAAACAGTCTTTGCATTTGAGGATTTCATGGCATGTAAAAGAATTTTTGTTTGTGTTGCATTCTTCTTTCATAATTTATTGAAAATGTGGGGAAGCAAAAATATTTTCCTTAATTTTGACAATGAAAGCGTGTGTGATTATCATGCTCTAAAACAGTATGTTCTTGGGGAAATTTTACGGAAAACATGCAAAAGACAATAAAAAACATGATTAAATTTAAATTGGTACAATTTTTAGCGCGATTTGAGGTAAAAAAAAAAAATTTCATTTTTGGTAAATTTAACAATTTAAATGATTATTCTGAAAACAAACTGAGCAAGCGAATGATTTGAAAAAAAAAAAAACATACAAGTAATTTTCGAGTGATATTCAAATGGTACGCAAATCTCGAAAACATATTGCTAGTCTCGTCAGAATAAAATACCTCCGCGGAGATCTTTTAAAATATCAAAGCTTGTGAGACTTTCGCAAAAATTCTTTTGTTGAAAATTTACACTTCATTCATGTGAATATGTGTTATCGAAACGGTTATTTAAAAAAGTCACGTTTCTTATGTTATCATATAATCGTTTACCATCGTTTGACCTGAAGCGGAAAAGGTAGATTCCTCAGAAGAAGTTAAAACAACAACATTATATAATGCAGCACAACGTCATGTATGAATCTGCCCCGTACTTCACCTTCGTGATGTTATATCATGATGGTCCTTCGAAATCATTGATTCCGATATCGACATTCTTGTAAAAGATTGAATACTTTTCAAGTCGGTGCTAGGTGGCGTGAGAAATATTTTCTGTGCCATAACCTATCGTGAACAAACACAATCAAAAATAGTTCACAATTTTACTGTATTAGCTGTTTATTTGGTGTTAAGACAATGTCATTTTTTAAATTTCTATGTTGATTATAAACAACGAATAAGGAACTATGATTCCGTGTGTCGTAAATCAATGTTATTACTATGATTCTATAAGTATACAAACCATGCAAAAATCACTATTTTTGAATTTATCTACTTGATCACATAGCACTGTCGAGACGCAATATACTATATGCGGCAGTATGCTATATGCGGCAGTATACTATATGCGGCAGTATGCTATATGCGGCAGTATACTATATGCGACAGTATACTATATGCGGCAGCATGCTATATGCGACAGTATACTATATGCGGCAGTATGCTATATGCGGCAGTATACTATATGCGGCAGTATGCTATATGCGGCAGTATACTATATGCGGCAGTATGCTATTTTTTTGCAGTATGGCTTAGTGCTGATGGATGTATGCGGCAATATGCCATATATTTGTTTCGCATAGCATACTGCCGCTGTCTGAAGACTAGATAAACTGGAAATTGATAAAAGTGTGATATAAGACATTCTCATTTGCTAAAAATACAGTTGCTTAAAAACATGCATGTTAAATACGTATTAATTTGCTGTTTTATCTATAAAATTACCTGTGATGAAAACAATACAAAATCACATATTGTATATAAGACAAATAACAAAACAGTATATTACATTGCATTACATGTTACACGAGATAAGCTATTTTAAACTATTACCATTTTCTGTAGAGTATTTTTCAATATAGGTTTTATCTATTTCTCACTGTCGAAATTTACCACTCAGTCCTTAATCATATGTACCTATAATTAGCACTTACACTAATTCCTTACATATGACTGCTGCTTTATTTATATACATGAGTGGGAAGGGCTTAATCTAATGTTGTAAGAACTTGTTGCCCAATCCATTTGCATTTTGATATACTCAGTATATTCATTATTTGTATGATATATTTGTAAACATGTGTTAAATGCAATAAAATATGTTTAAACTATAACTGTCTTTAGTCTGTTTTAAGATTCATACCATTTTCACACCTGTATAAATCTACGACTTCACCTTTTGAATGATTCGATTCTCGCATCAGCTCCCCCCCACTCCCCTCTCCAATGTACTTATTATAGTGACTGAATAATCAAATTTACTGAAAATATTGCTTTATAATACTGTTTGCATACACCACACGTCATGTTTTTTGAAATTTGCATTTACTCTGTAATCTCATATGTCTATTGATTTGAGATAATAAAGTATTGTTCTGTTCTGTTCTATTTGTTTTGGTCAATTAGAGTGGTTCTATCTGTTTATATTTTAAACTCATATTTCTCCTCTTGTAAAAGCCTCTTAAGTGAAAATATGATTAAACACGCTTGTGATATATTCTTTTAAATCAGTTCTAAAACTTTCTCCGAACAAAAGGTATATCACAGAATTGAATGCACTGTTCAAAAGATAACAAATGGTAATTACATTAATATAAGGTATTACCTCGGTACATGTTTTGAAAAAAAAGCAGATGATGAAAATAGCGTATGGTAACGTTGAAACCCAGTGCAGTATACTTATGGATATCACGATCCTTGTTATATTTTTTATGCTCCTTTGTTGACGTGTCCTTTGTCTGGATCTTCTCTTCCATACACAAATGGATACCAATGTGATAATGTTACTGCTTGTTATTAATATCAAAGGCAATAGGAATGTGAAAATACCGTATGATACGGCATCCAACAAGACAGTTGTATTATCAATAATGTTCTTATTTGTAAAGCAAACTTTTTTATTTTTATTGTAACCTTTGGTTGTAGCCGTAAACAGAAGGTGTACATTCAAAGCGCACGAAAACAGTACTATGCAACCAATAGTAATAATAGAACGTCTTTTAACATTGCTTTTGAACATTTTGAGTGGGATACAAACATATAGCATTCGTTCCACTGCAATTATAACCGTTATCCATGCTGAAACTTGTGGTGAAACAATCCCAAAGAAAAGCACAGGTTTACAAATCCAATCATGTTTACGACGTAAATAATATCCTGATTTTAAAAAAGCATACTCAGTTCCCAACACTAACAGAATAAACAAATCATTGAGAGCTAAACTCCACATGTATGTTTTACAGTTTGCTGTTTTGCTCCTTTTGCCATATTTCCATATCAATATTGAGATGACATTGCCGATTGAACCAAGTATAATAATGGTGATTAAAATAACAATATGTATCATTGTATACTATTATAATATTCAGGACGACCTAAAATTAATAAAGTATCTTAATACCAAAAGAAGCTTTATAAGCGTCCTGAAATCAACAACCACAGAACATATATTGAGCGTCCTGCAGAGTAAATTATGTTATGCAATTAGCATTCGCTATTGTGACATTTGCAAACAGCATAATATGTGGTCGTACAAATTAATTTAGCTCTAATATCTCATGACATTTGGACAAAAACGAACACATTTATATTGTTTGCATACTGGCATGGAAGTCAATTTATTAAATGTCATTTCTATTATTATATTTTTATATGAATCAATAGTAAAGTTAATTGTTTTATTATCAAATATGCAATATGATTTTTGCTACTATCCCTGCGAAATGTTTATGCCCCATAGATGTTCCAGTCATTATACAAATAACTCATATATTTGTGGGTAACCGTAAAAATATCGCCCCGAACCCGAATCTGTAATGATCTGAAATATTCAACTAAAACTAACTGTAACATGATTGAACCAAGAGTAACAAATCCTTGCAAGTTGTAAGTGTACTTGTGTGTTGCATTTATAAATCACAACACCAACCCTTTTAATACGGTTATGATCTGTGAAATCTGACCCTGTCCAGAATGTTCTTCATCACCTTTATACATGATTTTAGAGAGTGTGCAATTACGATATTTGAATAGTCAGTCTGTCTACCAAATGTGTTCATGTTTCTCTGGTTAAATTCGTAAAATAATCATTTATTGCATGCTTTAGTCGTCTTCTTGTTCTATTTTGTCTTATGTTTATTCCTATGCAATAACTTCCGATGAAAATGGATGTTCACTCTTTTACTAGTTTAACTAAAATATATTTAAGAAAAAGCAAAAGTGTTATAATATCATGGACATTAAGGAAAATAAATTTTTTGGATGAATGATAATATAAAAACGTACACATTTTGTGGGAAAAAATGTGTATTATCATTTATTTTTTTACATGACATTATTCCAAATCCTTTTATGACAACTTGTAATTGTAGAACCAAGCGTAACCGAAAATGTCAGAATGTAGATAAAATACAATGCATATAACTTTCCAATAAGTTACTCATGTCATAATATCTTTAGAAGATTCAACGATTCTTATTGTTCTGGTAATCTTTTTTTGTTAAGATATAATATCTATTTTACTAAATTTAGTTAAGCGCACATATGTTTGATGTGTTTATAAATGTCTCGAAATTGTTAGGTTTAAGGTTCAGTTATTGTTATCGCATCGCAGAACCGCATATATTAAAGAAAGTTGTCTTTGAGATAATGCAATATAACACGAACCCTTTTAATTTGCCATATCATGGTGTCCTTCTCCGACATATTGCATATTACTTACAAGTACAAATGTTGCTGCAATGCAGTAATCGAGAAGCTCCGCGCAAAAAAAAGTTTCTTCTGCCGAAAATATAATATGAAATTAATACTTGCAATTCAAAGCTTGTTTGCTACATAAAGATTATTATTTACTTATTGCAAACTTTTTCTCTGCTCGACTATGTTGATGTTTTGTCATTGGCTGAAACCATCACGTGATCAATACACAGGTGTGAACTAATTTAATTTTCATTAAAATTATGCCGTTTATCGGACATATAATAATTGTATGTACAAATAAATTTATAAAACAATCTTGTGGATAATACAGTCTTAAACGCACCTTTCTGAGGTCTGGTTCTCGACTGCGGATCTTCCTCCATCGTCAGCTTGGTGCCCGCCAGATGTTTCGGCCCTTATCCAAGTACATCTTTAATGGCGGGTGGGCCCACCGTCTTACGGTGTGGAGGTTGATCGCATCCAGCTTGTCTCCTCGCGTCGTAGCCACAGCCAGCTAGACGCCCGCTCAGCAGCCTGGCTCAGCTTCTGGATTGCCCGGCGCCTGTCTCTGCCAGTGGTGCCAACAGCTGTCATCAATCTACATACAGATTGCGCACAGAACCCTCTAGCGCCTACTTCGATGGGGAATAGCCAAGTCCGCCAACCTCGGTGTCGGCACTGCTCAAGTAGTTCAGTGTACTTGGCTTTCTTCCTCTCATAGGCCTCTTCACATCTCGTCTCCCAAGGTACTGTCAACTCGATGACAACGAGCTTCTTCCCTGTCTCGGACCACAGTACAATGTCTGGTCTCAAGTTGGTCTGAACGATACCCGGGAACACAAGCTTCTTTCCTAGATCGACTGACATATTCCATCCTGTGGCGCCGTCAAGGATCGATTTCTTCTGTGAAGCTTCTGTCTTCGCAGTTTCACCCGGTCTCACAAAGTTGATGTGGCCTGCCTGTGAGTTACTTCTGCGTGGCTTCTTCTTCTCCCCTTCCAGCCAATCGGCAACCGCTCTGAGGACGTTGTCGTGTCGCCAGCGATATCTGCCCTGCGTCAGTGCTGTGGAGCAGGAAGATAAAACATGTTCCAGAGTGCCTGGTTTCTTGCACAGACTGCATGTTGGGTCTGTGATTAGTCCCCATCGGCATAGGTTAGCTGGAGATGGCAGGAGGTCATGAACTGACCTGAGGAGGAAGGATAGACGAAGTGGTTCATACTTCCAGATGTCTTCCCAGGTCAGCTTCCTTTCCATGGTTTCCCACGTTGTCCATGCACCCTGCGCACCCATCTCTACCGCTCTGGCCTGTCTCTTGTTCTCCTCTTCCTTCCGTACTTCTGACTGTATCAGGGCTCGCCTCTCAGTCTGGTTGGCTTGGCTCCATAGGAGTGTTTTGGTTGCACCAATACCTTGTCGTCCGACAGCCGTTACACCAACGATGTCCTTGTGCATGAGAGAGCTCTCCGCCTGGCTGACAGTCTCTGTCGCTGACCACTTTCTTCCAGTACGGGTAACGATCCCTGCTTCCCGGATCTGCTCATCTGGGGAGTCTCTTAGGGTAAGCACCAGTCTTGTCTTCGCCGTCTTGAATTCTTCTACCAGTGAAGATAGTGGGAGTTGCAGTTTGTTGGTTTTCCCATACAGTCCAACACTGGAGAAACTGGGTGGGATTCCAAGCCACTTGCAAGATGTCGGCTGGTGATTCTCTCTAAGGCTTCTATTGTTGAGCTGGGTACCTCGTACAGCATCATTGGCCAGATCAGCCTTGGTAGTAAGGCATGCTGGTACAACCAGGCCTTGAACTTCCCAGGTAGGTTGCTCCGGTCTATCTTCTTCAGCCCGTCTTCTACCTGGTTCTCTAGCTTCTTGACGTTGTCCTTGTCTACTAGGCTGGCATCAAACCACTTCCCAAGGCACTTAATTGGGTTCTTTGTGAAGGATGGGATCTCCTCGTTCTGTACTCGGAGCACGAATCTGTCTGTCGTCTTGCCTTTCTTGATAATGAGGGACCTGGACTTTACGGCCTTGAATTTCATTCGGGCCCATGACGCGACGTCTGTCAGTGCTGTCAACATCCATCTAGCCTGGACGTGTGTTGGTGTCGTCAACGTGAGGTCATCCATAAAACCTCGGCTTAATGGAGGTAGATACCTGACTCTGTCTTTGGTCCGCGGGTCTCTCTAATGGCAGCATTGATGAGCAGATTCATCCCCATTACGAAGAGTACCACAGAAACAGTACATCCGGTGACTATACCTTTCTCCAACTTCTGCCACTTCGTCAGCTGGTCACCAACAGAAAACCGAAGCTTGATGCCGTCAAGGTAGCTGGTGATGATTTTCTGGACATGGTTGTCGACGTGGTAGTGCTGGAGGGCTGTGTAGATCAGCTGATGGGGAATAGATCCATATGCGTTGGCAAGATTGAGCCAAACTACTGTCAAGTCTTTCTTCCCCGTCTTCGCCTCTTGGATTAGTTGGGTGATAGCACTGGTGTGCTCTACACAACCGGAGAAACCAGGTACTCCACCCTTCTGGACTGAAGTGTCGATGTACGCGTTGGTCGTCAGGAAAGAGGTAAGTCTTCTGGCCAGGATAGCGAAGAATATCTTCCCCTCGACATTTAGTAGCGAGATGGTCCGGAACTGATTGACTGTCTTGGAGTTCCTTTCCTTGGGTGTGAATATTCCCTCTGCTTCCTTCCAGGCTTCTGGTACTTCCGCTTTCCTCCAAACCACCTTGAGGAGTTTCCATAGCCTCTTCAGTAGGAGTGGGCACATCTTGTACACTTTGTACGGGATGACGTTAGGACCAGGAGTAGAGCCCCATCGAGCCTTCTTGACGACGTCCTTCACCTCTCCCAAAGTGGGTTCAGTGGTTACCAGTGGCGTCTCTGGAGGTAAGGCAAGATCTATCCGGACACAGTCCCCTATGGCGTCTTCTCTGTTGACATCTGAATGCGTATCATGCAGGTACTTCTCAACCTCTTCAAGTGGGGTCTCTTATGTTCCTGAACGCTCTTTGTCAAGCAGAGTCTTTGCAAATTTGTATGGGTTGGCTGTGAACGCAGCTCTCTTTCTTGTTCGCTCCCTCGCTTTTCTCCTCGTGTTCTCAGCTCGCCGCAGAGACTTCAACTGTGTGCGCAGTGTGTCACGTAGTTCGGACAGGCCAAGGCGCTGCACTGGAGAGCTGTCTCGGTACTGCTTCTTCATCTGTCTGATTTCTTTCCTCAGGTTCTCTATGCGGTGTTGCCTCCGGTTCGGCTTATGAGCCTCCTTGCGTTTCTTTGTTTCTTCAATCCCAAACCTCTCCCTTGAACAGAGTATACAAGGGTGGAAAGGGTGTGTAACTTCCGGTGTACTGGACCTTGCATGGATGATTCGAGGATGATTTCTAGGTCCTCGTCAAACTGTTTCCATGGTGCCTTCTCAGATGCCTTGGGCCACTTGATCTTGGGTGTTCTTGTGGTAGGCATTGGGCGTGGTCGGTCAGGGACGGCCTCTTGCTCCTGTGGTTGGCTGCTAGTGTCCTGCGAGTAATTCAGTAGCTCTAGGAGGGGGTCGTCTTCATCCATCATTGGATCCCGGGTGGCATCGTGCGCTGTCTCTTGAGCGGAGAGTTCATCAGTACTGTGGGTAGTCTCCTGACTGGAGTACTCCCGCGTCTCACTAGCCATACTGGCTATGCGCTGCTCAAGTGGCCTCACGCGCTGGCAACCAGACTTCCCCTGGTGAATGCGTAACCCTCGTTGGTTTTTGCAGACTTTGCCACAAGGGCAAGTTACTGTCCCTGGTGCTGAGTTCGTAGTCGATTGGGCAGGCCGTGTCGATTCCATAAAATCCGTCCATGTGAGTCTTTCATCCTCCCCCCCTCTCGGAAGACTCTGGGGGTGTCTTTCATTAGTGGAGTCTGTAGCTTGTCTGTGGGTGTCTTCTCACGAAGACTGCACGTCGGGATGCTACCCCTAGTGCCCCGGTTCCAGTCTGTTCCTGGGGTCAACTGTCTCTCCAGTGTCACCAATCTATTCCTGGTTGCCATCCAGTCTTTCCTAGAAGTCACTGGTAAACCAGATGATCAATGTGGATAATACAGTCTTAAACGCACCTTTCTGAGGTCTGGTTCTCGACTGCGGATCTTCCTCCATCGTCAGCTTGGTGCCCGCCAGATGTTTCGGCCCTTATCCAAGTACATCTGTAATGGCGGGTGGGCCCACCGTCTTACGGTGTGGAGGTTGATCGCATCCAGCTTGTCTCCTCGCGTCGTAGCCACAGCCAGCTAGACGCCCGCTCAGCAGCCTGGCTCAGCTTCTGGATTGCCCGGCGCCTGTCTCTGCCAGTGGTGCCAACAGCTGTCATCAATCTACATACAGATTGCGCACAGAGCCCTCTAGCGCCTACTTCGATGGGGAATAGCCAAGTCCGCCAACCTCGGTGTCGGCACTGCTCAAGTAGTTCAGTGTACTTGGCTTTCTTCCTCTCATAGGCCTCTTCACATCTCGTCTCCCAAGGTACTGTCAACTCGATGACAACGAGCTTCTTCCCTGTCTCGGACCACAGTACAATGTCTGGTCTCAAGTTGGTCTGGACGATACCCGGGAACACAAGCTTCTTTCCTAGATCGACTGACATATTCCATCCTGTGGCGCCGTCAAGGATCGATTTCTTCTGTGAAGCTTCTGTCTTCGCAGTTTCACCCGGTCTCACAAAGTTGATGTGGCCTGCCTGTGAGTTACTTCTGCGTGGCTTCTTCTTCTCCCCTTCCAGCCAATCGGCAACCGCTCTGAGGACGTTGTCGTGTCGCCAGTGATATCTGCCCTGCGTCAGTGCTGTGGAGCACTTTAGAAATATTTAAAATAATAAAAATCATTGGAAAATAATAAATGCATATAAATTGTAAATTTGCGTATGATAACTCACCCATAAACAAAACATAATAGACTCAACCAAAACAAGCGTCTGCTTCTTTACCTATTTATGAAGTTGCAAGATTATGATCAGCCAACCAAATTTAAGAGCAAACCTATTGTAAAAATAATACTATGACCACAGCAGATTTCGTACAGAAAACAACTTCAGTTTCATTCCTAGGCCCTCGGCTTTCTATGAAGCTGGTATAAATAAACAGGACATATATGCTTATCGTATAGTAAATGTATCATCACATTTATCACCTGTGAGGCTTCCAACATCTAGAGCAAATTGTATACATGTATATTCAATGTTGTGCTGGAACAATAGTCAAAATGTACAAGATTTAGGTAAAAAAAGTAGTACAAATATTCCCCCAGTTAACCCAACAAATTGTGCGCTTTAGGGCTTTTTATCATCAATACGATGGTCGCTCCTCGCGACGTCTAAATGCCGACATCTATGTAATATCAGATTGTAAAATCGGTTGGTCTGTCAGCAGTCAACTGTTTTACGAGTTATCTGTCCCCGAACCGCCCAAAATAGCCGAGGATAAAAGTTGAAGTCCCCAAGTATTAGGACCGTGGTGCATTACTCATATAAGGAAAGTAAAAAAGTTAGCCCACATCAGTTAATAATAGCTTTCTTCTAAATCTGGCAATTTTGTGTAATGGAATTTCCCTCCTTTAAATTTGGAACTATCAAATCAAAGGTTTATGGGGATTTCAAAATCAAAATACAAATTTCTAGAAATTCGAGAGTTACGTTTCCTATGAATGCTAGATTGTGATGTGTCATAGGATCAGTACAAAGTTGCCCGGAAATACAAAAGTGCTAAAATTCCAAGAAATACGACAATTCTTTGTTAGTGCTTAGTTTCCTAGAAAAACGAGTTCTTAGATTATGGGTGTTCAGTTTCTAATAATAACGAGAGTGCAAAGAGTCCTAAAAGTGTGCTTGATATAGGCCTACAAAGAAATACAAAAATGCTAAGGTTTTTATTAGAAACGGAAGTGTGCTTAGTAGAGAGGTATGTTTCCTTGAAAGATGAGTGCTGAGTTTAATAAAAATATATTACAGTGCCTAATTTCCTAGAAATATAACAGTTTTAAGTGTCCTAGAAATATCAGAGTGTTAATTTTTCTAGAAATATAAGTGTGCTAAGTTTCCTAGAAATATAAGAGTGCTAGGTTTCCTAGAAATATAAGTGTGCTAAGTTTCCTAGAAATATATGTGTGCTAAGTTTCCTAGAAATATATGTGTGCTAAGTTTCCTAGAAATTTAAAAGTTCTAAGTTTCCTAGAAATATAAAAGTTCTAAGTTTCCTATAGATACAAGAGTGCTAAGTTTCCTAGAAATATAAGAATGCTAAATTTCCTAGAAATATAAGAGTGCTAGGTTTCCTAGAAATATATGTGTGCTTAGTTTCCTAGAAATATAAGAGTTCTAAGTTTCCTAGAAATATAAGAGTTCTAAGTTTCCTAGAAATATAAGAGTGCTAAGTTTCCTAGAAATATAAGAGTGCTAGGTTTCCTAGAAATTTAAGAGTGCTAGGTTTCCTAGAAATATAAGTGTGCTAAGTTTCCTAGAAATATAAGAGTGCTCGGTTTCATAAAAATATAAGAGTTCTAAGTTTCCTATAAATATAACAGTGCCGTGCTAAGTTTCCTAGAATTTTAAGTGTGCTAAGTTTCTTATAATTTTGAGAATCCTGTGTTTACTACAAATACAGTTCTTCATTTACGACATTGCAAGTTGTCCTAGGCATTTAAGAATGTTAAGTTGATTTAAAATAAAAGAAAGGTGGGTTTTTATGCTTAAGTGTTGAAATATCTTCAAACTACTGGAAATACAATGCTGCTTTA